TTTTCTTTTCTTATGGTACTGGGGATTGAACTCAGGGCCTTGCATTTGCCAGGCAAGCGCTTATTCTACTAAGCTATCTCCCTGGCCCCTCACTGCAATTTTTTAATGAATCTTTTTGACTATTTCTAAACACTTCCATCTGAACACAACAAAATAAAGATGAATGTAAAATTAAAACTTTTTCAGAAAATAAAACATAGAAGGCCATCTTTATACTTTATTAGCAGTAGATAGTCCTAAATGGTTAATTCATAGTACATGCAAAAGTGTACCACCTAACTTGTAATTAGGAAGAGCATATCAAATTTCACGTGTTTCTCATCTTGGTCTCATTTTAAATATGATCCTTGTTTGGTTTGTGTCTAGATATCCCTCCAGAAGTCTCATGCAGTCATAAGTGGGGCTTTGCAGAGGTGGCGAGATCTCACGTGTGCAATGCTAGCATTAAGAATGTGTGATTACTGACTGCTTTGGCATAGTTCTGGGTATGGGTAATGGGAAAGCCTACCTGGGTGTGAGTGCTACTAGCCCTAAGGACAGGTAGTACGGATAGAATAAAGAACACAGAGAGGGCTGCTCTGGTCATTTGTTGGCCTTGAACTCATGGCAATCCTCTGGCCTAAACTTCCTGAATGCTGGGATTATAGGTATGGGCCACATGCCCAGTGCAGCTTTTGTTTGACATAAGTTCCGTCATACAACATATTCTGTAAGTTCTTTGATGAATGAGAAATGTCAGCTTTTTTAACAAGAAACTGGCATCTTGAATGTGTAGGTTTCATGAACTGAAACCATTAACAAGCAATTACAGGGGCCGGGATATAGCTCAACAAGCTCAAGGTTCTGAGTTTGATTCCCAGTATCAAAAGACAACCAGTTACATTAGAACAGTAAACAAGTGTTAGACCCAGAACTTCTGAAGATTTCTGAATTCACTTTGTATAACAAGTATTTACTGAGTATTTACTAGTGCCCGGCATTATGCTGAACACTTTTAAAAGTATTAATACATTTAATTCTTATTAGGTTCTATAAGACTGGTATAGTTATTCTCATGGTACAAAGCCCAGATAATGCCTGGTGGGAGTAATTTGTACAAGAAGGATTATATAGCAGATAAATGGCAGACTCTAGCTCTTAATTCAGCTGAATGATTACTTAAAAATTATCCTCTGAAATGTAGTTATTAATTATAAGCCTGGAATCAATCATCAACCTGGAAAGTCATGTCTTATCAGAAATAGCTCACAGAATTTATTTTATTTTTTTTTAAATTTTTTTTAACATTTATTTATTGTGTGTGTGTGTGTGTGGCCAGCTCAGCCCACCAGGGGGCGCGGCTGGCTGGCATGTGGTGCTGGAGGATCGAACCGCGGTCCCTGTGCTTTGCCAAGCTTGTTCCAAGTAGGTGCTTTAGACCACTGAGCCATCTCTCCAGCCCCAGCTCACAGAATTTAAAGTCGGAGTTTTAACCAAAATATAGTATCACACAGAGATCTGTGTATAACTGTTAGTGCAGTGTGACCAATTTTCAGTCTTCCTTTTAAATAGGAAACCAGTTAAAAATATTAAGTAGAATCTGAAGCTAAACAGGTTCCCTGAAAGTTATACAAGAGGCAATTTCTCTGAATTTAAATACTGAAGATTCTAAGCTGTTTTTTTTTTTTTTTGAAGAAAAAAGTGATATTTATTATTTAAAGATACCATGGTTAACATTTGAATACATTTTCTTCTGGTTTTTCCTCTATGCTTGTGTTTTAAAAATTCATTTATATTTATTATTGTTTGCTATAAATTTCTTTATCATTTGTAGCCCTGGTGATCAGGGCTGTTTGATCATTGCACTGTTTGAATTAAAATTCCAGAAGCTCACTGTGTTAGGTCAGCACTCTTTTGCTAAGCCACACATCCTAGCAGCTGGCTTGTGGTTCTAGAATCTGGCAGCACGTCATTTTATAAAATAAAGTGTTCCCATGCTTTTTATTATTTTTTTCTGTATTCAGGGCAGGGTCTACAGGGTCTTACTACATAGGTTGGACTCAGTGATTCTCCTGTCTTCAGCCTCCCAAGCGCTGAGATTACAGGCGCGTGCCACCACACTGTCTCAATTGTCTCAATACACCCTGGGGGTGGGGCTGGCAGGACATGCCAGGGATCGAACCCTGGCCTTTGCGCTCTACCTAAGCAGCTAAGCTCAGTTTTAATATCAATTGTTATTTGCTATTTCTTCCTCACTTTTGTCTAGTTTTAGGGGAAACCAAATCTTAACAAAGAAATACACTCTCAAGAGAAATCTAAAAAACTTGATAAAGTGTCCTTGAGTAGTCAAATATTTATAGGTTTAATTTTCTATTATGTAGAAAAATTCTTGTAAAGTTTGTCTGTTTTTCTTTTTTTGGGAATGGGTGGGAGGTACCAAGAATCAAACTCAGAACCTGGAACTTGCCAAACATGTGCTACACTGCTGGCCAATATCCCCAAGCCTAGTTTTCTCTTTTTCATAGGGTTTAGTATGGGATGCAATGGTGGGAGATAAATAAAAAGCAAGCCTCCATTAAAAATGAAAAGATTACCTGGGTGTGGTGGCATGTGCCTGTAATCCCAGCACCCAGGAGGATCACTGTGAGTGAGTTCAAGGCCAGCCTGGGCTACAGAGAGACCCTGTCTCACAAAACAAAGCTCAAAGTGGTATTTAAAGAACCACTTTTCTTCTGAAGCACTTGATAGGAAGTATCACCTTGTAGATTCAAAGAACTACTATAAAAACATTTTATATTATCGATTCTATAACCTGAGAAATATGAGTTAATGACATAAAACTAACACTTGAACTTCTAAATCAGGGTTTCAGTATAGTTGCATAGAGAACAATCCAAAATATGCTAATATCAAACAGAAATCTAAAACTCAGTATTTCCTATTTCACGAGTTAATGAACCTCAGAATCCAAACAAAACGTTAGTTGGAAAAAAAATCAAATATTGTACCAATAAAAGCAAGGTTTAAAAAAAGCCAAAGAACTGGTTACTAATAATTCTATATTTAGTCTTGAAAGTTAAAAGTGGTTTCTTAATTAAAAAAAATTATATTTTAGTATCATAAATTGAGTACAAAGTGATCTCTACACTCAATATTTGAAGTAGTCAAATATTTCCTATGGGTTCTTGGGCCTTGATTATTTAAGGCAGATAAGAAATTAATCTTGGGCTGGCGAGATGGCTCAGAGGTCTAAAGCACCTACTTAGAACAAGCTAAGCTAAGCAAAGCAAAGGGCCTGCGGTTCAATCCCCAGCACCACATGCCAGCCAGCCCCGCCCCCTGGTGGGCTG